AATGTCATGGCCATTGTGGAAAATTGTACAGCATTTCCTCTAAAAGTTAGAAATAGGGCTGACTGGATAGCTTCATGGAAGAGTGCTTGCCTCCCACGTGCAAGACACTGGGCTTGAAACCAGGCACTGCTAAAATAAATAAATAAAAATGAAATTATACTTCTGAGTATGTAGCCAGCAGAATTGAAAGCAGGGTCTTGAAGAGAGATTTTTATACCCATGATTGTAGCAGCGCTATTAATAGAAAAAAGTGGGAGCAGCCTAAGGGTGCATTGATTAGGATGAATGATTCTACTTACTTGTTAAGGTTTCTAGCACAGTCAAATTAGTAGAGACAGAAAATAGCATGGTGATTGCTAGGGCCTATGGGGAAAGGGGGTTGTTGTTTAATCAGTAGGGGTTTCAATTTCACAAGAAGAGAAGAGTTCAGTGCTAGGATGATGGTGACAGCAGATGCTAGGACAAGGTGAGTGCACTTAATTCAGAATGGTTAAGACAGAAGGTTTCATGCTGTAGGACTTCTACTGCACACAAACAAGCTCAATAAAGTCGCTCCAAGTCTCCATCTCCCATGAGTTCCCAGGACACTGAGAAGAAAAGCCAGGGTCAGCAAGGACTGGGTAGGATTCCCCTGGATCCAAGTCCCCTCTCTGCCTTACTTTCTCTCCTGTCTCCACTTTCAGCTCTTCTGGGTGCACCCCAAACCTGATCACCTTGGGCCTGACCAGCAGCTGTTTTTCTCCTGATACTCACATGACTCAATTTCTTTCATACTCTACTCTCATGTCATCCTCAAGAAGACTTCTCAGACCCCTTTGTCTAAAACTGTACCTTTCCCTTTCTTCTTCCCCCTTTTTTGTGGTATGGATTGAATTGAGGGCCTTTGCACTGAGCTACTTCCCCAACCTTTTTTGGCATTTTATTTTGAGATAATGTTTTGCTGACTTGCCAGGTTTCCCAGGCTGGGCTTGAACTTGCAGTCCTCCTACCTCAACCTTCCAAAATTCTGGAATTACAACTATGCACCACCATGCCTGGCTTCTTTTTATTCTGTTAGTCTAGGATTTCTGTCTTTGTAGCACTTAGCACTCCCTACCTGCATTCATCTATCTGTTGCCTATTTTTCCAACTAGAATGGCTGGTTCAACAAGATCAGTATGTTGTCTGTCTTCCTTGTCTCTGTAGCTCCAGTGTTCCATCTCACAGAATGTTAAATAAATAATGAATGAGCGATGGGATAAATGAATGAGTGGTGGAAGGAACGAGAGCTGAGAGGGGAGGCAGTAATCAGCATTGGAGGCTCTAGAGCAGAAGCAGAACATCGAGTGTCCAGACAGCTACAGAAGTGACTTCTGGCTGAGTTCCCCTGTGTAACAATTCAGCCCCCCCACCCCTCAAACTGGCCTGTGGCCACCTTGGGTGTTTGGGGAGGCAGAGAGCATAACTGTTATCACCTTCTCTTGTAGCTGGCTGCCTGACATTCTTCAGAATATGCTTTCCCCTTTCTCTCCCTTGTTTGGATCTCCGCTTCTCAAACCATGTTACAAAGAGTTAAAAATCAGAGCCTGCCATTTATATGCTTGCACCAACAAAGACAGGTTCAGATACTTACAGAGGACAGGATGCAATTATCACCACTTCTATCAAGGTGCTAGAGATTGAATTCTGTTTGGAAAAAAGAAGGAACATGTGTGTCTATTGTTATACCGTGGGCATCGATGTCTGAAAACCATGAGCTGCTCTGTCTTGAGTCCTTGAGGGCCGAGGTTGTTTTTAGTTCAGACATTGGCTTAACCTTGGCTTTGACCCATCACCTCCTCCTTCTCCTAAGCCCCAGTGACTCTTCTTTTGCATCTGGACTATTTTTAATCCCTGTGTAATACTCTAGGGCTATTCTTACACCATAGTCACCATCACCTACAGTAATCTGTCTGATCCACACCAGAGCTGCTCTGATAAGCTGCCAGCTTCCCCTGGGGTCATTTTCACTTTGTTTTGGTTGTGATGTGGGATCAGGTCTGGGAGTCCTCACAGCCTCCAGGCTGATCTCCAGCCCAGACACATTTGCACTTGGAAAGCCAATCACACACATATGGCTTTTTAAATTTTTTTTTTAAATTTTCTCAGATGATTTTGTTCCATCCATTAAAAACAGAGTCTAGGCTGGGCTATATTTCTCAGACTGTTATTAACATGTAAAACTGTTATTTTAGGTACCCACTGGAGATTCGTAAGATTTTGTTTTTCAGCTTGAATGTTGTCAAAGCTTATTTTTGGCTGAACTGTGATGATTGCTTAGAGGAAAAGATGCTTCAGTGAGAGCAAGGAAGAACAGGTCTTATCTAAGCAATGTGGAGGAAAATGGATGCAAGGGAGGCTTGAAACCTGCCTGTGGCTCAGCAGCGATGGCCACCACAGTGGGAGGATAGTTTTGCAGCACACTGAGCTCAGGCCATAAAGATCTGTACTCCATATTAAGGATTCAGAACCAGATTCTGAAGGCAACAGGGACCAACTAAAGTACAAAATACAATTATTTTGATATTTATTAAACATCTCTGTGGGGCTGGGGAGTAGCTCAATGGCAGAGTGCTTGTTCAGCAGGCACAAGGCCCTGGTTTCCAACCCCAGCACACACTGAACACATAACACACACGTGCACGGCCATCCCTACATTTGTGCATCTGTACATGCATGCATCCTTCTTGCAGAAGAACACGTGATGGATCAGAGAGGGAAAATTTGAAGGTGAATTAGAGATTGTAATGGTAAATCACACAAAGGACAGAGGTGGCTTGAACAAGACTGGAAACTTCAGTGGAGAACAGTAGATAGAGTTTTTAATAGACATTTTAACTTATTATTTCTTATTTAGAAATTTTAGTACCTAGAACTGTTTTAGGTCGAAAGCAAAATCAGGTGGCTTCATATCCCCCCCTGCCGTGTGCACAGAATTTGCCCTCCTATTAACATCTTGATGAGTGTGGTGCAGTCATTCCAGCTGATGTGCCAACACCGACAAGCTGCTGTTACCCAGATTCCATTGTTTGCATTATGGTTTGCTCTTTGTGTCTGAGTTTTGATAAGTGCATAGTGTCAGGGCCAGCCAGCTAGCTCAGTGAACTGAAGTGCCTGCTTAGGCAGGATCAGGGACCAGGGTTCGATTCCTGGTGTGTCGTGCCAGCCCTGCCCTTGGGGTGCACTGGGACAGGGACTGAGACTGGGCGTGGTGGTACATGCCTGTAATGCCAGCTCTTAGGAGGCTGAAGACAGGAGGATCACTATGAGTCTGAAGTGTGTAGTGAGACCCTGTAAACCCAATACCAAATACATAAAAAAAAAGAAATGCATGCATAGTGTCATAGTTTCCCAGTATGGTATCATACGTGATAGTTTCAGTGCATTTATCCACTGTGCTTCACCGGTTCAGCCTTTCCTCCTCCCTGCAACACCCTGAAATTGATGTTATTTTCACTATTTTTCAGCTTTATTTTTCCAGCATATAACATGGTTGGAATCATCCAATTGGAATTATGTATTCATAATTCTTTCTCAGCTGGCTTCTTTCTCTTAGCAAAGTATCTTATGCTTTTTGGTGGCTTGATAGCTCAGTTTTAAAAATAGATTTTATTTTTGAGAGTAGCTTCAGGTTCAGAGCAATATTAAGTGAAAAGTATCTAGCTTTCCCATACATCCCTGAGTCTTTTTAATGGCCTGGTAATATTCCATTGTGTGAATGTAACACAGTTTATTCATTGAAGGACACTTAATCTATTGAAGGGCACTTGCTTGCGTGGAGGAGTAGTACTGCTGTAGACTCTCCTGTGCTAGCTAGTGTGTGAATATAAATCGTCAACTCGCTTGGATAAATACCTAGGAGCATGACTGCTGAATCGTATGGCAAGGCTATGTTTAGGCTTGTGAGAAACTAGCAAGCTGCCTTCCTTCCAAAGTGACTGTACCACTCTGTGCTGCCACCAGCAAAGGATGCGAATTTCCTATTGCTCTGTATGCGCCTCTGTGTTTGGAGCTGTCAGTGTTTTGGATTTTAGCCACTCTAGCGAGTGTGCAGTAGCAGTACCTCATTGTCGCTGTAATTGTTAATTCCTAGAGACATACACTGCTGAGTATCTTTGCATATGCTTATTTGCCACTTGCATGGCTTCTTTGGTGTGATATCTGTTCAGAGACTGCCAATTTTAAAACTTGTTGTTTTCTTGGTGAATTTCAAGATACTCGTCCTTCGTCAGATATGTATTTTGCCAAGATTTTCTCTCAGTTTGTGGGTTGCATTTTCATTCTCTTAGTGCCTTTTGCAGAGAGAAGTTTTCACTTCAGTGAAGTCTGATTTATCAGTCTTGTCCTCCACAGATCATGCTTTTGGTCCTGCAGCAAAAAGTCAGCACCAAAGTCATATTGCCTTGGTCTTGTCCTAATACCCCCTGGGGATTTCTTAGTTTTGTGCTTTACAGTTAGGTTTATGATCTATTTTATGTTAATTTTTTCAAGTATGCAACGTTTGTGTCTAGATTATTTTTTGTATGCAAATGACCAGTTGCTCCAGAACTATTTGTAAAATAGAGTATCTTTATCTATTGACTTGGTCTTTCCTGTATCAAAGATCAGCTATGTGCATATTTCTGGACTTCATAATCAGTTCCATTGATCTGCCTGTCTACTCACCAATGCCACAGTATTTAATTAATTAATCAGTGATACTTTACAGTTAGTCATGAAGTCAAATAGTCCTCTTGTTCCTTTCTTCTCCTTGAATATTACACTGGCCTCTCTTTTTAATTTTTCAATTGTTAACTTCTACAAAAAAATAAGAGTTTTAATGCATACGTACATATCCTCCCTATATAATGTATATTATATTATGCATATTATACATATAACATATATTGTATTCTTCCAACATTTATTACTTCTTTGTATTAAAAACTTTTAAAAGTCTTTCCTGTATGTGTTTGGGACCTAGAGTATACAGTGAGCTCTTTTGGGTCCTCCTTTCCAAGATGAAGAAAAAAAGAAGGAACAACAGTGGTGCCAAAAAGGGCCGGGGTCATGTGCAGCCTCTTCGCTGCACGAAGTGCGCCCAGTGCATACCCAAGAATAAGGCCATTAAGAAGTTTGTCATTCAGAACATAGTGGAGGCCACCGCCCTCAGGGACATTTCCGCAGCGAGTGTCTTCGATGGTTATGTGCTTCCCAAGCTGTATGTGAAGCTGCATTACTGTGTAAATTGTGCCATTCACAGCAAAGTGGTCAGAAATCGATCTCGTGAAGCCCTCAAGGACCGATCTCCTCCACCCCAATTTAGACCTGCTGTTGCTGCCCCTCGGCCTCCACCAAAGCCCATGGAAGGGGAACTGGGTCTTAACGGACTGAAGAAAACTCTCTTGAGGAAGAAATAATAAATTGAATGCTATACTTTAAAAAAAAAATAGAGTACACAGTGATCATCTCATGCAGTAGTACCCCCGGAGCTGTGTGCTCTTGTCTAACTGTAACTCAGTGTCCACTGATCGTGCTTCCCCCACCCTGTGTTCCCAGCCTCTGGTACTGCTATGTTGCTCCAAACTTACCTGAGATCCACCTTTCTAGATTCCACACATGAGTGAGGTCACGTGGTACTTATATATTGCCATCTTATTTTATTCAACATAATGATCTACTCATCTTGTGACAAATGACAGAAAGGACAGTATTTCATTCTTCTTATTGCTGAACTATATTCCGTGGTGGATACTAACTGCATTTGCATCATCCATCTGTCAGTTGATTGACACCTTGCTCACATTTCTTGGCTATCATGACTAGTGTTGCAGTGAGCCCAGGAATGCAATTGTATCTTCAACATACTATTTGTATATGTACCTAGAAGTGGCATTTCTGCATCATGTGGCAGTTCTGGTGTTACTTTTTTGAAGGAACTACATCCTATTTTACACAATGGCTCCATGAATTTACACTTCTACCAAGGGTGTCCAAGGTTCAGTTGCCTTTTCTCCCTATTCTCACCTGCATTTGTTATCTTTAGTCTCTTTGATAATTACTATTCTCACTGGGATGAGGTGATGTCTCATTGTAGTTTTAAAATTTAATTTCCTTGATAATTAGCCTTGATGTCTATTCTTTAGAGAAATGTCTATTGAGATCTCTTGCCCAGCTTTGATTTGAATTATTTTTTTGATATTAAATTGTTTGAGTTCCTTATATATTTTGGGTGAACACCCCTTGTCAGTTGTAAGCTTTGAAAATATTTTGTCCCTTCATGTACGTCATCTCCACACTCTTTATTATTTCCTTTGATGTATAGAAGTTTTACCATTTGATGTGAGTTCGTTTGTCTATTTTTTGGTTCTGTGTTTAACATCTATTTGTATTTAAAAGAAACATTCCAACATATATAAGTAGTATAAAATCAAAAGGAAGAGAAAACTTTTGTTTCCTGTGTTTGTGTTGGCAATTCTTTGTCTTTTACTTTTCTATGTAAACTTTAGAATATCTTGGTATTTTGATTGACACTGCATTGAACGTAACATACACAGCTGAGAGGAAATGACATCTTAATAGTTCAGAGGTTTTCTATCCATGAACCTGTAAAATTATTTGTAGATTGTTTTGGAATCTTTTGTCTGAGATTTATAGCCTTCTTCAGACATATCTTGTATATATTTGGCTAGATTTTCATTTTTTCAGCTTTTGGGAGAGTGAATATAAATTGTTATGATTTAAATTTTAAATTATAATTGGTAATTGCTGGTATGTGAGAAAACAGTTAACTTCCTATATTAACCTTTTATTCTTACTGTAATTATTTATTAGTTCCAGGAATTCTCCTTTTTTTTTTTGAATTCTCCTTTTTTTATTCTTTAAAATTTTCTACATGATCATGTCATCGACAAAGCCCACTTCATCCTTTAGAATCTGTATGAGCTTTCTCTTCCTTTTGATTTTATACTACTTATATATGTTGGAATGTTTCTTTTAAATACAAATAGATGTTAAGAAAGAAAATACAACAAAGCACTCTTCTTACTTTTATGAAAAATAAACTAAAATAAAATTTCATAACAAAGTAGATTTAGTTTCACTTATGCTACTGGTCTCGCTTAGTTTATTGAAGAGAAAGCTTTGTTCTTTTATTTTCTTGCCTTGTTTATTACATAAAATTTCTAGTACAACATTGCATAAGAGTGATGAATTAGTCCTGGTTTTAAGGAGAAAGCTTTTAGTTTCTTGCTGTTAAGTAAGCTATTACTTATAAGGTTTTAATAGATATTCCTTGGCAATGTTCTTCTATATTCCTGATTTGCTGAAAGTTTATTTGTAACATATTTTGTTTGTTTCAAATCATGAATGAGTGTTTGGTTTGATTGTATGCTTTGTTTGCATGGTTGAAACCATCATGTACATTTTCTTCTTTTATATGCCGAGGTGATAGATTGCATTAATTGATTTGTAAATATTGAACCAGGCTTACAACTTGGGACACATCCCATTTGGTTGTAGTATACAATATTTTAGATACAGTGTTACATTTTATTTGCTGATATTTTATGTTGGCTTTTACATGTATATTAATAAAAACATTGGCTTGTAATTTTAGTTTGGATTTAATATTAGAGCAATGCAGACCTCAAAGATGAAATAAATATTTTCACTCATCCTGTTTTGTGCAACATACCATGAGAATTAGTGTAACTTTCTTCTTTAAATGATAAAATTTCTCAGTGAAATCATCTGGAATTGGCATCTATTAGTTAAGAATGTTATGAATTATTGGTTTGATTTCTTTAATAGATACAGTTCTGCTCAGGTCATCTTTTCTCCTTGTACTTTTGGTAGATTGAGTCGTTTAATAAGTTGATATATGTAATATTTTATGAAAGTTATCAATTTTGCACAGAATTACTGTATCATGTGTTTTATTTTTATTATTTTTTGTTTATCATGTATTTTAAAGGTGTAAAGATATGTATTAGGCAGCATTTTACAAGTGTACGCTCAAAGAAATAGTGTGCAGACTCTCAAGAGAGAGGGTGTTATGGATGGAGCTGAGATACTTCAGGTGTATCTTGAGGTGGATGGGGATCTATAGTTGTGTGAATCTATAGAAAGTTTAGGCCCAGTCTGGAGGAGAAAATTGATGACTTATCTACAGTAGAAAGACAATAGGACATTCCATAGGTAAAAGGATGGTGCATCTTACATGATAAAGGCAGGGGCAAAGCCTGTTTTATTTCTGAAGATTAGGCTTCTGTCCTTCACCTTATCCACTTAGCTAATTTATGAACTGAAAGATCTGAGGGATTTTAGGTGTGATGAGCCTGGAAGAAAAGAAGAACCAGCCAGTGGAGGAGAAGTACATGTATGGGTGACAGGGGGTGTTCTGAGTGTCTGAAGCGGGCACCTTCTATAAGTGTAATTTTCAAATTATATTTTTCCTTGACTTCTTTCTACATATCAGTATTTTTCTATCCTTTCTTATTTTCCCCACCAAACTTTGATCCTTTCCTGCTAGTTGCTTTCTCATGGCTCAGACACTATCCTTAACATCCATAACTTAAAGAAGAAGAGAGTTTATCTTGGTTCAGAGTTCATAGCAGTTTCAGGCCACAGTCAGGTACAGGGTGTTGAGGTAGAAGAGACAAAGCTGTGGCATGGCAGCAGGACCAGGGAGAGGTCAGAGAGAAAGGAGTACCAGCTTAGGAAGTGTACAACCTAGCAAGTATAGCAATGGTTTCAAGACATTTGAGCAGCAAAGAGAAAACTAAGAGTCTTATTTGGGGGAAGGCAATTCTCTAAAGAGTGAGAGAACTGGAAAAATTTAAATACAGATGGGATTGTTGAAAACACAAGGGCCAAGGAGAAGTTTTCTGATGAGTGTGGAGGATTCTCCTTTCATACTTAGGACAAAAATCACCTGGAAAGTTATTACACAAACGTTTTTATGATGATGAACCAATTGGGCTCACTAGGGGAACAGATTTGATGTTATATGAAGAATTTACTAGGAAGGCTAACAGTGGCTGCCTATAGAGTGAGGAGTGGAAGAGTACAAAATGGCCATCTGGGTTCATGAGACCTGAGGTTTCAGTCAAAGGCTGAGGACCTGAAGCTAACTGCAGAGTCTGGTGTGAGTCACTATTTGTAGTTGAAAAGTTTGCTCTGCAATCCTGAAGGAATTGAAGACCAATGTCCAGAGGCAGTAGGGAAACCAGAGCTCCTCCTCCAAATGAAACAGACGACTGTCTTATTTTTCTTTCCCTTTTTGTTTCATATGGGCTACACACCTATTAGATGTTGCCTCCCATGTGTGCGTAGATCTTCCCTCCTCAGTCAACATGTCAATCACCAACACACACAGAGATTCACTGAACTACTAGGTGTTTCTCACTCAAGTCCACATAATTGAATTATCAGTCACTGTGATCAGTGTAGAGATTCTCATTCTGAAGATTTAAAACATCTATAACTTGGCAAATTCCCTAGGTGATAAACATACTGGTATTTCACAGATGATTTTTTGCATAATGAAAACAGAAGGTGTCTAAAGTACAATGGTGGGTTCTCTGGGAATAATAAAAAAGAAAACTGTATCTATTATAACCCAAGAGGTTCAGGCACATGTGTTGTTTGGAAATAGAAAGTGTAGTAATATTGCCTAGTGTGTTTCAGTTTGTCTATGAAATAGCAGGTGAATTTTCCCTTCTGAGTGAACAATCAAGTCGAACGACAATGGCAGAGTTAGGAAATAGTTATGATGAAGACTGAACAAAATATATTGTAGAAATAATAAAAGGTTTCTGAGAAATTTTAGAAAAAATAGAAATTGTAGCTCATGAATTTATGGTGGCAATCATCTGTATTATTTTGCAAGTGTCCATAAGTGCACCACCTCAGTGTGAATACCAAGGAAATGTGCCTTTTTTGAGGTATGAATGCAGATAAAATAATAATGAAGGTAGAAGGTTTGTTTAATGCCAAGAAGAATGTTGGGATAATGGAATCCAAATGAAAGGAGGTAAGAAAGGAAGATGCTAACAAAGCAAAGGGCAATGAACCAGAGGGCTCAGTGAACCCCCGCCTGGAAAGATAAATATTTGTGTTAATTGATAAGAATATTTATTGGAGGATTTTGGAGTTTCAACAGTTCTCAATTATGCTAAATTGTGTGAAATGTGATCAAAGGAATAAAATAATTAACTGAGGTGAGAGCCAGTGGAACTGATGGGCTGTCTTTAGTAGCTTCACATTTCTGGCAAGAAAATCTAGAAAATGCCAAATTATACATATGTGGGTATGTTTACCCTGAATGTACATATAAATCAATATGTTACTTCTGTAGAGGATGAATTTGCATATGCAATGCCATTTCTAACTATAAAATGACTTTGTCACCTCAAGGAATCCAGGGCCTCAGAAACCAAATCACTTAGATTTCTTTACTTCGCTTAGAAGATCGAAGTAATTGCAGTGAAATTCTTTTCAATTATGATTGTGATTAGCTTCAAAATTGTTGTCTTCACATCTCTTGCATAAAAATCATTTGAGAGTGGTAGTTAAAAGTGTAAATTCCTTAAAGAAATCAGCTAACAAAAAATGCTGGAGAGGCTGTGGGGATAAAGGAACCCTTCTCAAATGCTGGTGGGAATGTAGACTGGTGCAACCATTATGGAAATCAGTGTGGAGATTCCTTAAAAAAACTAGGACTGGATATCCCATTCAATCCAACTATTCCCCTTCTGGGAATTTCGCAAAAAGAACTGAAAATGTCATATTATAGTGATATATGTGCAACTATGTTTATAGCAGCACAATTTGTGATAACCAAACCTTGGAAGCAACCAAAATGTCCATCACCTGAGGAATGCATGAAAAAATGTGGCATTTTTACATAATGACATATTACTCAGCTATAAAGAAAGACAAACTAGAAGGTTTCACAGGCCAGTGGACGTAATTTGAGGTTATACTCATAAGTGAAATAAACCAGACCCAAATGTGTAAATATCATATTGTCTCCCTAGTGTAAGAACCCAAAAGAAGAAATAAAACCTGAAAAGTATAACAGTTAGAGTTAAATGGAAAGAAACAGAACTTAAGGATCTAACAAAGAAGAGTGGAGAAAGGAGAAAAGATAGGAAAAATGGCAGGGGCAAAAACATGCAAGTATGCATACAAGATGGATGAGGTGATTGTACTAAGAATTTCCATCAGTTTTATGAAAATAGCAGTTAATGTATAGAATTCTCATCTTGACTAACTCTGTAAACAGATAACTTCAATCTAAACAACTACATTGAGGACAGTAATGTGTAATACAAAAACCATGCTTGAAACACCTGTTTTCTTGGTCTTCTAAATGTGTACTATTTCTAATATCATATCAATTATTACTACACTCTTTTAAAATCTTTTAGAAAAATGTAATAAAAGAAAAAGAGACAAGAACCAAAATTTAAGATTTCTTGAAAGCATGTGGTAATATTCAATCATAAGTCCCATCTTGCATGACTATATCTGAGAATCTGAGCAACAGATTTGATGAGAAAAATAGATAATATATCGTTCATTTTTTGTAGTTATATTGCTTTTTTTCACTTTTCCTTTATTTTTTTAATAGATTGCAAATTGAAAATAAATTATTTACAAACATAAATGAATATAACAATAAAAACTGTCCAAAATAAAAATAAAGAAAGAATTTACAGATCAGTCATAATAGTTCACTGGGTCAAAACCAAGAAACTTACATTCATATAATTAGAATTCTCAAAGTAGAAAGGAGTAGGTAATAAATATTTAAAG